CTCTGACCTCTGACTCTCACCCTCCTCCCTCCGTCTTACACGGGCCTATGGTGCCATTGGGTCCACCCGTGTAATCCAGGGTAACCTCTCCATCTCAAGATAATTAACTTGGTCACATCTTCAGCATCCCTTTTTGCTGGATAAGATAACATAGTCCCGGGTTCCAGGGATTAGGATGTGGTCATCTTTTGGGTGGGACAGGAGCATTATGCTATTACATCACCTCCCAGGCCTCCTTGGTCCTTCCCAGACAGAGGTAGATAGGAGGCCTTGGCAGTATAGGATGGGTTGAGCAGGGTGTTGGAGGGAGGTCTGGACTAAAAGCATCCAGTTTGTTTCTGTCTGCAGTTTAAATCCCAACTCAGTCACTTAGCAGCTCTAGACAATTGCATATTGCTTCTAAGCCTCAATATTCCCATCTGTGAAAGGGAGATGAAATTCACAGCCACGGCTCAATTAAAAATCCCCATTCTGGCATTTACTTGCATTTACTTTGGGCAGTCAGGATAACTTTTTAATTTCCTTGTTGAAATAGCACTAGTGATCATGGCTGATATGCTACGTGTGTGTATATTCTGTAGTGTTTGTGTTAATGGGATAATATAGGTCAAGGGTCTGTTTGACAGTAGTGCTTGGCACATGGTAACAACAGACAGCAGATCTACTATTATTTTTCTTCTTTCTTTCTTTTCTTTATTATTATTATTATTATTATACTTTAAGTTCTAGGGTACATGTGCACAACGTGCAGGTTTGTTACATATGTATACATGTGTCATGTTGGTGTGCTGCACCCATTAACTTGTCATTTACATTAGGTATATCTCCTAATGCTATCCCTCCCCCCTTCTTTTCTTTTTTCTTTTCTTTCTTTCTTCTTCTTCTTTTTTTTTTCTTTCAGAGTTTCGTTCTTGTTGCCCAGGCTGGAGTGCAATGGCACAACCTTGGCTCACTGCAGCCTCAGCCTCCCAGGTTCAAGTGATTCTCCTGCCTCAGCCTCCTGAGTAGCTGGGATTACAGGTGCCTGCCATAAACAAAAATAATTTTTTTTTGTATTTTTAGTAGATACAGGGTTTTACCGTGTTGGCCAGGCTGGTCTCAAACTCCTGACCTCAGGTGATCCTCCCACCTTGGCCTCCCAAAGTATTGTGATTACAGGTGTGAGTCATTGCACCCAGCCATATTTTTCTTATATCTTATTTTCTTCTTTCTTCTCCTCCTCTTCCTTTCCTTCATTGTCACCCATTTTTCCCTGTATCTCTGTGTATATCCTCACGTATTTTTCCCGTGCCTAGCTCATCCGTCAGGGAGCTTTCAAATTCACCAGGTCAGAGACTAATTTTTCATCAAGCAGCTCTGTGCGGTGTGGATGCTTTGTTAATGTTGGTTTCTTCTGTTGGGCCTTCTGTTTGTCCCTCTGACTGCTAAGGTGATTCCAAAGACCAAGGCTCCTGGCTTTTCCCTCTTCTGTGCAAAGCCCCTTCTGGGCAGATGCATTTCTCAGAAGACATCAATAGCTAGACCTGTGCAAGGGGAGAAGAAACTTCCCTCCTTCCGCCTCTTTCTCTTTCTGTGTACTAGAAATGAAAATATCTACGGAGAAATGTCTATTATTCTACTCCTGAGACCGTAGGCACCAGGGATGCACAAAATTCTGCCTCTGTGTCTGCATGACTTGTTATCAGAAAATTAGAGAAGAAAAGAAGCTTTTGTTCAGCTATGGAGACATCTTAATAGGTGCTTTGATTGTTAAACAGAAGTTTCTGTTTTGGTTTAATTGCTGTAAATGTTGTTTGTCTTCTCTGCTATGATAAGCCCTGGATTTTCATATTTTTTTTCCCCTTCCCTTTCAACAGTTTTCCGTTGCTTTAAGGCTTGCATTGGCAAGTTTAATAAAATCCAAATGAAGAAAGCAAAGAAAGGATCTCAAAGTTCAAATCTTCACGCCCACGTAGGAAGCCGGGTGGAGGTTATTATTGCATGAGACTAATGATGCTGCAGCCGCTTAATGTAATTGACAGAATTCACCCCTTCAACCAGATATTGGGAAATGAGACCAAACTACTAAACTTAATTACATCTAGTTTTTGAAAAGGAGCTATAATTGAGAATAACTGAATATTAGGCTGTGAACCTAATAGTGAGATGTGCTTATAATAAAAGAGGATTTGTTCTCTGCTGAGTTGAGCCTCAGAAGCACCACCTGGGGGATTTTTGGTGGAGGGGTGGGGGTAGTAAGGGAAGAAGCTGGCTAGAGAAACAGAGAAACATCTAGATCAGGAATTCTCTACCTTGGTGCTATTGACATTTTGGGCTGTTTAATTCTTTATAATGGGAGTCTGCCCTGAGCATTATAAGATGTTAAACAGTATCCCTGCTGTCTCTCCACCAAATGCTGGTCACACACACACACACATATACACGTACACACACACACAGAGTGTGAAAACCAAAAATGTCCCCAGACATTGCCAGATATCCCCTAGGGGGAAAAAGCACTCGTCTGGTTGAGAACTGGGGTGCAGGGGCTCCTGGAAGACTTTCAAACAATTGCAGAGTTCCTCATTGAGCATCTACAGGTACCTGACTGTGTGGCCTTTAGCAAGTCACTGCATTTCTCTGAGATCCTTTTGTCTTCCTTTGCACAATGGGAATAATGATAGCCTGACCGCACAGAGGAATAGCTTCCAGGTATAACATGCATAGCATAATGCCTAGCACCTATTGAGTAATCAGTAAACTCGGAGTTTTTATTATAATAATCTTGGATTCAGCTAACGTGTATTAAGTACTTTGCTTCAGGCACTATGCTTTGAGATGATGATGGAAAGATGAGATGTGGTTCCTGCTCTTGCAGAGGTGGAAAATGTAGGCGGACCTGTTGGTACAATCTTATTCTTCACCCGTGGCAGACATTGCTAATCAATTTCAGTGCCCTTTCCTGTTGAGCCTCAGAATCCATTTTAACACACTTCTTTGGGCAGCCACTACTAGTGGCGCCTGAAATGAAACCCATTTAGCACTCCTAGTTTTGTAGATTTCCTGGTGAGGACGCTGACCCTTCCTCTCCAGCGCAGTCCTCCCATTCCCACCCACCCCTGGCACTGAAGAAAGCACCTTAGGGAGTTAATGGTGGAATCCCTCCTCCCACATCTGACTTCAGTCCCCAAAAGGGATAGGAATAGAAAAATGCTCTCTTAAAATTTTTTTTTCCTCTTATCTTTTCTATTTCCCTCAGAAATGGAAACAAGTAGTAAAATGGGCTTGAGGTTGATGACATTTAGTTTTTACTTAAACTAAAGGAATCCCACAGGCTATAATTCTGATTGATACATCATGCTCTTTCCCTCCTAGGTTTTCTCTGCCCTTTGAAGCTTGGGAAATCATTAGCTCTCTCATAAAGGATCCCAGCTTTACAAGGGCAGAACTGGGATTTCTGGAAACAGCTTTCAGATGGCTGTGGACGGTGTCATTAGACAGAATAGAGGAGCAAGTAGGTTGGGGGTTAAATGCTCTGTGATAGGTTCTGACATGCCCGGCTCCCCGAAGAGAGTGCCACTCCATAACAATTGCTGTGAAAAATGAGGCATGCATTTGCAGCTCCAGACACAGGGAGCTGGCTCCATCCATCTGGCCTGAGAAATGAGAACTGGCGTGTAGGGTCAGGCACTTGCTGCTTCTCTCCCTGTCTGGTGGAGATTCCACAGGCAACACTGGTTACTTGTTGCCATTGTTTTACAGCTCTTTGGGGCCTGCAGGCTCTGCCAGAAGGATGGTGTGGGCAATGGGGAGTAGGGCGGAGGTGGGACCTGGTGCACAGGGTCTGTGGGAGAACCAGAACTCAGTCTGTAATGGAGTGATAGTACAGTTCGTTGAGATTTAGCCTAAGGGATGAAAGAAAAGACCAGATGGGGACAGGCATCTCATCTGAAGTTTGATTTTGTTTTGTTTCTTCCTCATTCCCATTCATCATGCATCCACCTACCCACCCACCTGTCTATCCACTCACCTATCCGTATTTCCATTCACCCGTCCATCCATCCATCCATCCATGCATCCATCCATCCATCCATCCATCCATCCATCCATCCACCCACCCACCCACCCATCTATCCATCTATTCATCCATCCACCCACTTACCCACCCACTTATCCATCCATTCATCCACTCACCCACCCACCTATCCATCCATCCGTCCACTCACCCACCTGCCTATCCATCCATCCTATCCATCCCACCCATCTATTCACTCATCCATCCACCTACTTACTCTTGCATAACTTTAGGTGGTGCATGGTTGGACATTATTAAAATAATTATCTATAATGTACAGAAATTGATATGGCTTTCCACATAGGGTTTGCTTTTAAAATAAGTGTATTTAGCCAAAAATATTGGAGTCAGCCTAAAATGTTAAATAAATAACTTGGCAGTTGTATAGAGGCATGGCAGAAATGAGAAAAGCATCACGTGCCTGGCTGTCACTGGGAATCCACTGCACTCTAACTTTCATGCAAAGGCATGTGTTCATTTCAGTTTCCTCGAACCCGAAATCACAGCTGCTGTGCAGCCTGTAAGGTATATGACCTAGAGCAAGCGACTTCCCCTCTCCAAGCCTTAGTTTTTTCTTCTGTAAGGTGAAGATGCTAGCAACCCCTTTTCTTGGGGTCGTTTGGAGAATGTAGCAAGCTAAGGCATGTGAATCACTTAGCACATGCCTGGGACACACCAAGCACTCCATAAATGGAAGTGATGCTCGCTTTTATTCATTCCACAGCTGGCTTCATTTAAGGCATCCCCTGGCAGCCCTGCACAGGGGACCTTGCGTGAGTTGAGGTGACAAGCTAAACCAGTGTTCCACTTGGCTTTGGTTTAGCAAGTGATGGCAACTGGTGTCCTTCCTGAGGGTGACGAGCCCCCCCTTTTCCTTCCAGTGCTTGCCAGAGCCCACCCCAGTCTCTGACCCTTTGTGTAACAGGCTGTTCTCTTTTCTCTTTAGACACACTGTCTGTGCCACGTTGGTCCCCGCAGATCCCTCGCAGAGATCTCGGCAACTCCATCAAGCACAGGTAGGCTGGATTCCTGTGTGCACTGGTGCCTACTTCACAGCCCTGTGAGGGGTGGGGGCTCTGGCCCCTGCCCTGGGGTGAGAGAAGGCTGGGCTATTGAACTCCAGCACCTACATCTCCATGTCCCTTTCTCCTCTGCTAGGCTAAACTTTAAAGTGGCAACCAGGGGACTGAGACATCTGCTTCTTACTAATCTGACCCTTATAAAATTAGCACATAGCAGTTAAAAGCCAGGGCTTTGGAGTCAGACTGACCCATGTTCCAATCCCAGCTCATATAGCTTTGCAACCTTGGAAGTTACTTAACCTTTCTGAGGCTCAATTTTTTCCTTAGATAATTCTGCCTACCTACAGGGTGACTGTACAGATTAAATGAGATAATATATGTAAAGTGCTTAGCACAGGGCCTGGCACATAACAAACACTTAATAAACAGTATCATTCTTAAGATTAATGCTTTATGTCCTAATTTTTGGTCTCCTCACCCAGAATACACAAGATTGCAGGTGTCCATTCTCTGGTGTGGTGGAGGTCGGTCCAGAGCTCTAGCCCTGCTGGGTGCATGGAACAGGTGGTCCTCTCCAAGGCTATACCTGCCCTTTTGGGGAGGGGGGTTTACATATACCAGGCATCCCTTATAAGAAGTCCTTTAACTCCCTGAATTTAGCGTTCCCCACTTTGTCTTGGTAGTTCCAGTCTCCTCACAAACTTAGCAGGGTGAGTGGGGCAAGTGTGCTCATGGCCATTGGACAGATAGGCAAACTGAGGCCCTGGGAGATTAAGCGATAGGTCGAAAAGCTAATTAGCCTCAGTACTTTGTGTTCTTTTGACACCCTGCTGAGTTTTCCTAGCACCAGGGCCTCTGTGAACTCGCTGGGGGACCCGCTCACTCATTCATGGATTCTTTCCACTTGTATTTACAGAGTTTCTGTGCCACAGTTACAGCCCTGACCAAGACATAAGGCCTGTTCCCTTGGGGAGCTTGTGCTGTAGGGGAGGGTCAGATAGTTAACAGACCACGACAGTATGGAGAGATCAGGGTGACAAGGTAGGGTGATAGCAGGGCCAGATGCATCACCATAGCTGGGGCCATGGCGGAGATGAGCATTCTCATGATGGGGACTCACGGAATGGCATCTCGTCAACAGTTTTTGAAAGAAGTGTGTTGACAGGATAGTTGTTAAGACTAAAATGAGAAAACTTTGGAGAAAGCAGTGAGAAGTGTGTGATAGACACGTCAATGGTCAGGCCTTGAGCTGCAGAGAGAAGGGCATCAAAGACGAGAGCTTTTCTCTGTATTTTCCTCCTCACTGCTCTCTGGCTCTGCTCCACCCCTGGATTGGCCACGCCCCTTGATCGACCATGCTCCCTGGACTGGCCCTACCCCTGGCTCATCCCCAGTTTTGAATTGGCTACGCCCCTGGCTCAGCCACGCCCTTGGCTTGGCCACACCCCTGGGTCAGCCACTCCTCTGGCTCAGCTCGGCTCTTGGATTGGCCATGCCCCTGGCTCAGCCCCACCCCTTAGATCGCCCAGCCCCCGGGCTCTCTGGTAGTCCCTAAGATTCAAAAGCTGATGCCCAGAGGAGGGAGACAACCTGTTAATTGTAGGGATGTCTTCCCAGAGGAGCTGAGACTTGGGATGACCTACTACTCTTCAGTCTCTCCCTGTGTTTCTCCCTGGGCTTAATGCCAGGAGGTAGAGAGAACTGGACTCACCCCAGCCTTGGTGAAGAAATGAAATTAAAATCCCATCTGCTGCCATCCAAGTCACTTCAGCCAGAGCTGGGGAAGAGGCAGAGCTGATCCCAAGCACAAGAGAGGGCTGGAAAGGAGAAAAAACTGTCACCCACTGCTTCTGACGCCTGCCCGCCATTCCTGTGTGGCTGGCTGATGAGTGAAATACACGCTCCTTCGCCGCCATTCCCCAGAGCTGCCAAATTCTGCAAAACAGAGTCTGCTAAACTCACCGGCTCTGCTGAAGGGAAAGAAAGGGGCTTGACCAACTCACAAATCCAAAACCAGAGAGGGAGAGTTTTCTTGGCAGTAAGCGTCTTTGCTCAGAATATTGCTATTTGCTTAGATTTGGAGGCTTTGGGCTGTGGCTTATTTTGTTTGGAGAGTGACTGACCCAAATCAGGCAAAACGGTCCAACAGAGGGATGCAACCTTTCCCTCGAAATTCTCCGACTCCAAGTTATATAATCACTTCCGATTTCCCTTTTGACACTCTGAGGCAGTGGAGATTAGATACAACTCCTGCTGACGGTGACACACATTGAAAATTAAAATTAACTGTGACCTGGCAACCTTCAGTACTTTTCTTGGGCCCAGTCCTGCCACTGCCTCATATCTCTTGGGGAAGAAAGCACCCTGGCAATATCGAGGGGAGATGTGCCCGGGGAGTTAATCGAATGCACCTCTGCTCCAGTTGGTTTATAGCTGTACACGGGAGACCTCCAAACTGCCCATGTTTGCAGCAAGTGGATGGGGTTGGAGAGCAAGGTGAGCTGATGGTCTGAAATGGCTTTCACTTTCAAAGACTCTTCTCTGCCACTGAAGTTTGGGTTCTTAGGTCTTTCGGGTGGGGAGGGCTCCCTTTGATACTCCCCAGGTGGTGTGACCAGCAACTGATGGGAGATGGTTCAGCGGGTCCCCCAGGAGGCTCCACCTTGCTTTGTAGCTTTCTGCAGGCAGTTCCAGCTCTATCCATTGCTCTGTCCCAGAACTGACCTTGGCATATAGTAGGCCACCAGGCAATATTTGTTGAACAAATGAATGACCCTTATGAATGTTCAAGGTAATAGTATAGTCACAACCCAATTTACTGAGTGCTTACTATGTACCAGGCACTGCACGGAGCCCTTGACATGCCTGACTGACCTCATTTAATCTCCCCAGTAACCTACGAGGTCAATACTGTTATTATCTGGAGTTTACAGATGGGGAAACAGAGGTTCCAGTGGTTTAAGCAACATTAAGTCACACAGCTCGGAAGAAACAGGACTGGAATCCAGGGTTTGTGTGCTTGCTCTTCAAGTGCTTCATCCCTCTAGAGATAGGTCAGTTGCCGTTTCCTTAACCTTGAACATTTTCTGTCTCTTTTCCACAGGTTTTCCACCAAGTACTGGATGTCTCAGACATGCACAGTCTGTGGGAAAGGGATGCTTTTTGGCCTCAAGTGTAAAAACTGCAAGTAAGTGACTGTGCCCTGCGGTGACTTTTTCCAGCACCCAATGTCAGCTAGAACTATGCAGGTCACTGAAACAGCCTTTGGGAGTTTGATTTCTTCACTCTTGTTTGCTTTGTTTTTAAGAAATAGATTTGAAATGCACCTCTACATTTCGGTAGGGGGTCAAGGGAGGGCAATTCTGAATAAGAACCAGAGCTGATGGAAGATGCTGGAAATGCCTAATGCTGTGTGCTGAGGCACAGTGGTACTTCTCGTTTTCATAGCATCTAAGGCCAGGGGTTGGCACACTTTCTCAAGTTGACCAGATAGCAAATATTTTAGGCTTTGCAGACCATAAGCAGCCGTAAACAATACAGAAACAGTCTTGACAGCTTCAATTATTCCAATAAAACTTTATTTGCAAAAACAGACTACAGGCTGGCTGTGGCCCTCAGCTGTAATTTGCTGATCCTGAGTTAGAATTTGCCAAATCCTTTTCTCTCTCTCTGTCTCTTTTTTTTTTTTTTTTCTTGCTCTGTCACCCAGGGTGGAGGGCAGTGGTGTGATCTTGGCTCACTGCAACCTGTGCCTCCCGGGTTCAACCAATTCTCCTGCCTCAGTCTCCTGAGTAGCTGGGACTACAGGCCTGTGCCACCATGTTGGCTTTTTTTTTTTTTTTTTTGTAATTTTAGTAGAGACAGGGTTTTACCATGTTGGCCAGGCTGCTCTTGAACTCCTGACCTCAAGTGATCCTCCCTTGTCAGGCTCCCAAAGTGTTGGGATTGCAGGCGGGAGCCACCGCGCCTGGCTCCCAAGTCTGTCTCTGCTTTTTCTTTCTCCTCATGGTACCTTTTTGAACCAGCATTGTAATTCTCCCCATTTTACAGATGTGAAGGCTGAGTCTAGCAATGAAAAGTCACTGTGAAGAAGTGACAGTCAGGACCTGAACCCAGATCCCTAACTCCTTTTCTGCTCACTTTCTGTAGTATCATGTTGGTCTGGAATTTTGATGAGAAAGCCAGACCACCCAAGCTCTGCCTCCCCCAGCTTCCTTTCTCTTCCTCACCCCCATTCAAGGTCATCGCTGGCAAAAGGTAGGGAGGAAGAAGAAGACTGAGACACTAGATATGGGCTCTGGTTTCAAATCCTGGCGCTGCCACTTGGCAGCTGCCTGACCTTGGGCAAGTCACTTCACATTTCTGTCCCTAGTATTTTCATCTGTGTGAAAGGAATAATAATTGATATGGTTTGGCTGTGTCACCACCAAAATCTCATCTTGAATGGTAGCTCCCACAATTCCCACATGTTATGGGAGGGACTCAGTGGGAGATAATTGAATCATTGGGGCGGTTTCCCCCGTACTATCCTTGTGGCATGAATAAGTCTCACGGGATCTGATGGTTTTATAAGGGGAAACCCCTTTTGCTTGTTTTTTCTCATTCTCTCTTGCCACTGCCATGTAAGAAGTGCCTTTTGCCTTCCACCATGATTGTGAGGCCTCCCTGGCCACGTGGAACTGTGAGTCCATTCAACCTCTTTTTCTTTATAAATTACCTAGTCATGGGTACGTCTTTATCAGCAGCATAAAAACAGACTAATATAATTATCATGCCTGCCTTGGGTGGCAATGAGCTTTTGATAACTCAGCACACTTGAGGACATAACACAGTGCCTGGCTTCGTCCAGTCCTTTGTAAGAAATTGCAATGCTTTGCTGTCGGGCCTCAATCTCTCCCTCTCTCTCCTTCTGTAAACACGTATTACATACCCCTTCAGGTCCAACACTACAAAATAGTCAGTAACAGTCAACTTTATGTAAAAATTACAAATGAACATGCATCTGTTTGCTTTATAGAAGTCATTTAGTTTAAAAGATTCTGAGAATTCCTCTTTCTGCTCTAGGCTTGCTCTTCCTTGTCTAGTCCAGGCAGAGGCCTCTCATTTAGGCCCTTTCAGGCCTCCCCACATCCCTGTCCCAAGATAAAAGTGAGACAGTGGCAAGGGCAAGCTCTCACTCTGCCCACTCTGCCCCACCCTTGTCCGTACCCTCCACCTGGCAGTCTCACCTGAGTAATGAAGGTAAGGTTGAGCATCCTTTCCTCCTGGAGTCGTGGGGAGCCTTAAGCCCCATAGTATAAAGGGAAGCACAGGCCAGATGCAGAGTCTTATGCCTGTAACTCCAGCACTTTGGGAGGCTGAGGCAGGAGGATCAGTTGAGCCCAAGAGTTTGAGACCAGCTTTGGCAACATAGTGAGACCCCCATCCACACACACACACACACACACACACACACACACACACACACACACACAAAATTAGTCAGGCATGATGGTACATGCCTGTTGTCCTAGCCACTCTGGAGGCTGAGGCAGGAAGATTACTTGAGGACAGGAGTTCAAGACCAGCCTGGGCAACAGGACTAGACCCTGTCTCTACAAAATAAATTAAGGTAAAAGATGAACCAGGAGTGATGGCACATATTTGTGGTCCTAGCTACTTGGGAGGCTGGGGCAGGAGGATCACTTGAGCCTAGGAACTTGAGGTTGCAATGAGCTGGGATTGCACCACTGCACTCCAGCCTGGGCAACAGAGAGAGACCCTGTCTCAAAAAAAAAAAAAAAAAAAAAAAAAAAAATTTAAGGGGAAGCAGGGGCAATAATGACTAAGCATTAGTACTTCAAGGCCACCTTCCTTGCCTTGGTCCTCTGTGAACCTAGGCTCTCAGTGGTCTTTCTGACAACAAAAGGCATAAGGCTAGGCCTTTAGGTCTGGCCCCCGGGCTGGCTGATTTTCTCCGTATACCAGCAGCTCTGAAGACCTGTCTCATCTGTATCTAGTCCTACCACATTCCGAGGAGGTGATGGCAACTCTTACATCCTCATACCTGCCGTGTGGAGGCTTTGAAGTCAGGTAATTAGGTGACAGGGATGCAGCTGGGGTAGCGAGTTCCCAGGCCGTTTTCAGTTCCAGCACTAGACGCAGAACTCAGAAGTAGCCTTTGCTAGTGCTCTCTGGTCTAAAAGCCATGAGCAAAGCCTTAGACCCTGCCAAGGGTTGAGAGAGGAGGTTGTGGGAAGGATAGGGATGGGATCGGGGGGCAGGCTGCAAGAACACAGACTTGGAAAGCAGTCAGAACTGAGTTTGGGTCCCAGCTCCATTACTAAACTCTTGCATGAGCTTAAGCAGAGGTGTGCCATCATGGGGCTCAGCGTCTCTCTCTACAACGCAAGTGTGACATTAACGCCCACCACAGGGCTGTTGGAAGGAGTCAATGAAATGTCCATGCTCCAGATTGCAATGTTTTATCACATTCTTCCCTATTCCATCTTATGCGAAAATGACTCCTGGCATATAAGAGGCAAAATTCAAAACCAAAAATTCAAAACATGAAGATCTGACATGCTTCAGGAGTTTTGACACAGTGCTTGCAGAAACTACAACAGAATTGAGAGCAATCTCCAGTACATAATTATGAGCATGCATTGCTAATATCACCAGTTGAAGTTGAGACGTGTTCTACAATAAATTCCTGCAGTTTTTGCATTAGTTATAGTGAGGATAGAGGGTTACTTGTATGTGTTTTCAAAGATTGGCAGAATTTTGGGTGCACTTATGAGCTGATAGAAGGGTTGGATGAGGGATAGAAATGGGAGATGTACAGACCCCACTGTCAAGGAGTTTAGAGGAGACACACCTATGGAAATTGAATGTCAATAAAATGAGAGTGTACACATAAAGAGCGGTGACAGGTGACATTTCAGAGAGGTGACACCAAGGATGAGGAGGCAGCTTCCTGTAGAAAATGAGCAGAACCATTTGTTCACTTATTCAACTAATACTTTTTGGGCACCTGCTATAGACTGCACAATTGTTGGCACTGGGGAAACGACAGTGAATAAAAGAGACAAAATCCTTCCCTAGTTTCTATGCTGGGGCATGGGCAGGAGTTGGGCAGACAGTAAACAAAGTAAATTAGTAAATTAGGTCATATGATAAGATGATGCAAAATGCTAAGAAGATGGACAAGGCAGAGAAGGGTCAGGATGGGGGCTGCAACTTCAATTAAAGTGTTCAAGGATGGTCTCATACCTGAGTGAGAACTTTGCAAAAATAGTAGTGTGTGATCTGGGTCATTTCCTGTCCTCTGAAAGCCCCTCCAGAAGCCTGGGTTTGAACCTTCCCTGAAGGGAATGATGTTTTTTTTTTTTTTTTCACCCAGAGCAAATCCAGTTCTGTTACTGCCAGAAACTGCCTGGGTGCCAGGGATTGGATTGGCCTCATGCTATTCTGCACATGGTCCCTGGACCAGCACCATGAGCGTCACCTGGCACCTGGCTGGAAATGCACATTTTCGGGGCCCACTCCAGACCTGCCAAATCAGAATTTGCATTTAAGATGGTCCTTGATATGGTTTGGCTGTGTCCCCACCCAAATCTCATCTTGAATTGTAGCTCCCATAATTCCCACGTGTTGTGGGAGGGACCCAGTGGGAGATAATTGAATCACGGGGGCCGTTTCCCACATACTGTTCTTGTGGTAGTGAATAAGTCTCAAGAGATCTGATGCTTTTATAAGGGGAAACACCTTTCGCTTGACTTTCATTCTCTCTTGTCGCCACCTTTGGGCTTCCACCATGATTGTGAGGCCTCCCCAGCCACATGGAACTGTGACTCCATTAAACCTCTTTTTCTTTATAAATTACCCAGTCTCAGGTACATCTTTATCAGCAGCACGAAAGCAGGCTAATACAGTCCTGGTGATTCTTTTGCACATTAACGTTTGAGAAACACTACTCTAGGTGATCGCCAAATTTCTTTCCTGAGCTACTTTTCATTTTCTAGATGATGGTTCTCAAACTTGAGTGTGCACAAGAATCCCCTAGAGGGTTTATTTAACAAATAGCTTTCTGGGATCCACTTCTAGACTCTCAGGTTCAATACCTCTGGGGTGGACTCCCAGAATGTCTATTTCTATCAAGTTCCCAGGCCACACTGAGGCTGCTGGCCCTTGGTCCCCAGTTTGCAA